ATGAGTCAAGAACAATCGTCGTACAAAAGTGAAAAGGCTGTGGTGGGGAAAAAATTAGCAGCTACAGCCACTTGGCTTTTGTATTTTACCTTATCCATAATGGTGTCTGACAGACATTTAAACTAGATGGCCTTTTACCTTTCTTAAAACCCTACCTAGTTTCTTTACCATCAAGTGACACATGACCCAAATCCAAGTGTTTTCTTTTAAGTGATTGTTCTCCTGTTCGTTAAAACACGACTATCAGGGGCACATCATTTCATGGGAATGTAATATCGCGACAGCAAAGCTGCGATGTTGATGTTGAATGAGGTAATGTGCCTCCATTAAACAAATTCAACGTACTTCTTCAGTGCTATGCAGCTTTTGGTAGTCTAGCAGAAAGCAAGTGGTAGGTGACTATGACGTGGAGTGAAGGTCGAATGCAGATTCTCCTCTTCAGCTTTCATTCGGCTCATTAGCCGTGTCGCTGGAGAGCGCACAAAAGCACTCCGAATGGTGCCAAGGCGATACACCGATTCTGAATCCAACCACTGCCTCCAGCGTATTATAAGAAGGTTAAACAAGTTATCGAATGACCAATCCACTGACTCACACGTCTGTGTAACTCTATCCGTTTGATTTACAACTTTCGTTCCTCTCTCTTAAAATCTACTTCCCATGATTGCGTTCAGCTAAGTTGTGGTTAGCAATAATCTAAGGATATTTTTTATGAAAACTGATATAATTTCCTAATCAACGTTTGGCACAAATTAGCACCAAAAAACGTTAGTTTTAGGAATGGTTTAGCTCGGAAGCAAAAGGGTGTCGCAAGCTCGTGACAACCGAAATCGGAGTCGCAGACAGGTATCAACCTTTTCCTGTGGGCTTACGATTACCAAATGCCTGTCACCTTTGTGCGGCAAATGAGATCACGACTTGAGGGGAAGGGAAGGCAACGTTGGAAAGTGCTGTTAGTAATCAGTAACAGAATCAGTTTTATGGAGAGTAGATCTACACTTGCTTAATTCAATTTGATGCTGTTCATGATTTGTTGTTCAAACTTCAGTGTCATTGGGTCCTTGTTGGCATTATTTAAAGCTCTCATTAAAGCCTTTTGCGGCGATAGTAAAACGATGTCCAAATGGGTTCATTTTAATCTTCACCTATGGTGCTTATCTTTTTGTTCGGTGTTTAGGAAGCTTACGAAATGGCTGCTATGTAAAGATGTTCGCATATGAATGTACAACTATTGTTACTTTTGGATCCGTTCCTGATTGTGTGAAGTTCACAGTAATCAACTAACTTATGATGTTGGACGACAAGCAAAAGGATGATGTTCCTGACTTTTAAGGGAAGTTGTTTCTTCCAATGTCTTTGCAGCTCTAACTCCGTCTCCTTCCCAGCAAATAGCCTTCCAATCGTCGCATTCTCTTTATGGAACTCAATGTTATTAAAATCCTTGTAATAAATTTTACATGGAACTTGATCCGGACCTTCAAGTCCACATTTCAAGGAAATCTCTCAACAATTATTGCGCACCGCTTTTTGCTGACTAAATTACTGAATCCATTACAGTGGGTAAGGAGTCCACAGTGCATTCTGTTGGTTTAGAAAGTGGCCATTTTGCTTCGAAGAAGATATCGTTGCTTTTAGGTTACTTCCCTTATTAAAAATAATCCCAACTTCAACTGTAATTTAGCTAAGGTTCTTTAGCTTTCCCGAGGATTCAGAAGTCGCTCCAGCGGTTCGGCATCCCAAACACATTAACAGCCCACCAGCCCTTCTTCACGTAGTATATAAATCGTTCCCTGCATCGCTATGCCCGACTGGAGAGGCCATAAAGTGGCAGCACCAATGACGGTGCACCGAAGTGGGCGTCTGTTCAGACAATGAATCACTTGGTAAACTTTGTGCTAGTCAACTACACCGTTTGTATTTTAGTAGAAAATTATCAATGACCGCTGATTTAATGATAATGTCTTGGAGACCATCTCATTCAAGCCAAAGTTGTGTGAAGTGAGACAACTTGGAGGAGGTTATATAAAAGAGTCGATGAATCCACGTGATTTATTACAGGCGGGAGCCACACCTCTGAAGGCCAAAATAAAACCTCGTGTCTGCCACGTTTCACCATTGCCACAAGACAGCATATTAGACATTCTTTACAAACAAGCAGACTGCCAGCTACAACCTGAATTTGTAGACATTTTATTGCCATGCTAATTAGGATGGTGTGCTTTAAACTGCAGAAGCCTTCCTCTAGAGGAAAGCACGCGCTTATGCACGACGAAGTGCTCGAAGGTTTTCATACAACCCTTCCTGAATGTGCACAGTCTGCTTTATGCAAAACGTGCTCTAACAGCCAAGACTGACTGTGCATGTGCAACACATTTGGCATCCAAAGAGCCTTTTTTATCTCGGCTGATAATAACAACGCAAACCATTTCTTCATATCAAAAGCCAATTGCGGAAGTGGCCAATTCGCTATGTGGTGTTACTCGATGATTAA